TGCGTGAAGAGAGGCTGCAAAGTCAGTGAACGAAACCCTCAAGACGACGTAGCTTCCTTTGCGAATGCATGGAAAGACTGTTAGCGACAACATCAGAAGGATATAACCGCCCCGTCGAGCATCTTAACGGTAGTGCTAGGAAAGTAGAAAGTCAACAAGTTGCCAAGAGACGTCTCTTCTCAATGACATTCAAACCAACACGCCAGCGTAGAATTGCGCGAGCTACAGATCATCAACAAATGTCCGGAACTAGCGAAGTTATGCAGAAAAGCGATAAAGGAATATCTGAAAGAGAGAAGAGCAGCAGTCATGGACGAAGCCGCCGAAGCCGGTAAGAGCGTTCGCAAAGCCCGACGGAGCTTCGCCAATTACAAGACCAAGATGACTTCCCCTCGTCGTCCTGACGGAATCGTTACTACATCCCGGAGAACAATGGAGAAGGTCATCTGCGACTCCTACTCGGATCTCTTGGGCAGCCACGTTTACCTGTCTAACCACCATCTTAGGCAAGACGAATATATCGCTACTTCGGTTCTCCCTTCAGAAATTCGACTTGCCACCATGTCGATGAAGAGTAGAACTATGCATTGTCGTGCACAATCTTGCACAGTTGCACCTCGGGGAACGAACGCATGACCTTTGGTTACCGGATCTCTCCGAGAAAGGACGGAAACTACGTAAATCCTTGTGTGGGTACGATGGCAGCAACAACGGAAAACATGCCAGACGCTCACTTTCCGCTCCAAGAACTCATACTAGACTCAAAATTGCAGTCATGCTAGCGTAAAAGCTCTGTTTCCACTCTTTCGCCATATTCCTGGTGACTTTACTATCATTCACGCTCTATGTCTGTTTATACCAGACATCAGTCAGTATCTCATTCTCAAATTCTCCTTTCTTAATGAGCAACATATCCACTTGCATAATCTTGTTGTATTGCTTGAATTTTCATGGTAATTGTGGATGAAATACACGAACAGGGAAGGGATGGGGATGAAGTCTCCTGAGGCTGATCAACTTCTTGTGAGAAGCCTCGGCCACATTAGAGAAAAAATTTAGTAGTGCTTGAGTACGTGGGGGCGTTTGGGGACTTGTGAGGACAGCTAATTGAGAAAGCAATTTAAGTGACCGTCATCCGAGTGGTGGGAGGCTTCGCCATTTTGTCGATCTCCGAACCATGCGTATGACAGTTTGACACATGACACAATGGCACCTCCACCCAGGTTTGAACACAGACATTTTTCGAATTTCTTTTTTCCCTTTTTCGCCTGGTTCTCTCCGGGGTTATTTATTCTTCTGAGATTCTGAACGCCTTTTAAAACTTGTAACCTTGTTCAACCCCCTTCTGAGATGTACCCCCGCATCGGACTCCCATTCAGAACCGTAGGGGCACTTGAGTGTGTATGTGGCGTGGCCTATAAAAGGACCTGAGTATATAGTCGATGAACAATTCGATGTTTCCGTCTTCCCAAACGAGTTCGATATAAATTAACTGACCTCGCAAGGCCTGAAGGGCGATGGGTGGGATGGGCGACTATCGACTCCTCGGACCTCACCTCTGATAGTGAGCCAGTGGCACTAAATCACTCCCATAGATTCTTTCTGAAAACGCGTTTTTAATTCGGTACCCCTTCAAATGGAAGGATTTAGAACTAACAAATCAACTTGTAGGATCATAAACCCACGCCAAGCGTCAAGCAAACCTATCTGCTGCTCTATTTTTTTCAACATAAGGCACAAGCGTCTCTCGAAGTGTGAACTCAAGACCTCTCTAAAGTCAACCGTTGTGCCCCTGCATCCCTGCTCTTCTCATTTCGCTGATTCTTTCTAGTCTACGCGTACTTCTCGTCCTTAGGACCAAAGATTCTTGGGTCATACGATATCATCCCCGGGCAAGTGATGCTTCGGGTATGTATCATGTTACCGACATGCCCTCACTTCGTGTACGCCTAGCTTTTCGCTTGGAGGGGTCCTTATCAGCTTCTGATTGCTTATGCTTTGTAGGGCAGTGTTCTGCAACGATTAACGTAGAAGACGAGGGAGTACCGGAAGAAGGGTCAACGGCCCTGTTTAGGAAACTGCTTAGGTTGGCGTAGCCCTTGGACTGGCGGAATTCTAATTTTTCGTTAGGCGCTCTCAGGTCGACCCAGTGAATGAGCTGGTAGTTGATTTGTGAGGGTGATGAGCACTGTGTGTTCGGAGGGGTGTTGGATGCGCGCTGCGCACTCCACACAAGTGGATACCGCTCAAGCCATCAGAGCGACGGACTCAGCGGCAGCAAATAGTCGTCGATTCGTTAATCCAGCATGGCGCCTCCATCGAAATCCGTACCAATCCCTATACACAGGTATTCTACTATTAGAAGCGGTGGGAGAGTACTCTGCATGGTTTGAGTATACCTGTTTAGGTCTGCTTCACACACACCTTCGATGATGGTGAACGCCAAGAAGTATCTGTCCGATCGACCTCAGCTTTTGGATTGCCCCAGATGCAAAGTAAGCTCCCGAATTCTATTCTCATGTGCCAGTACCCACTTTGGGCTCGTGAATATTGAGTGTAGTGTATTGTACACTTGTTCATGTCAGAAGATCCTATCAACCACTTAAACGTGTCGTCAAATACATTCGTTTCTCAGTTGTACGGAGCTCTTTTACGTGTCGAGTGCTCGATCGATGTGTGTACTGAACGGCGATTCCGCTCGGCTATCCTAACCCCTACTTGACTTAAGAGCTCTAGGGGTAGGAAACTTGAAAACCTCAAATCTCATTGGCTCTACAGCGAGAACGGGCTATGACTTTTGTCTCACACCGGTATCAAATGTCACGATCAATCGAATGAGATCATCGATATGTTGGACATTAAAAGCCACACCTTTTGTTGACGTACCGACGTTCTTGGTTTACAATGCAATCAAGTAGATTTTTGATGTAATTTAAACATTCTTTCTTTTCATGTCTCGAGTGCTTAATCAGTGTGTGTACTGATTGAAGTCCCAGCTCCGACTTACTGACTACTGCTTATTTTCTTTGCAGAGTTTCATCTTAAAACCAACCAGAGTAATGCTGCCTTCACTAGAAACTTTGAACCTAAGTAAGTACTATCGGGACGATCCAATTAATCGAGTCTTGCCTAATGATACCATGATAAAAGGGGGTCAAGTCCTTGGGATCTATGCTTCCGCCCTACTCAACAGTATTTCGTGGCAGAATTTTTCCTGAATCGATATGNGAGTACCGGAAGAAGGGTCAACGGCCCTGTTTAGGAAATTGCTTAGGTTGGCGGGGCCGTTGGACTGACGAAATTCTAATTCTTCGTTAGGCTCTCTCAGGTCGACCCAGTGAATGAGCTGGTAGTTGATT